TTTTAAGATTGATAATAAAATAAATAATAAACTAGCTTTACTTATACCCTTAACAAAGTCTTGCCAAAGGATTTGAATAAAAAGATGGAAAAAAGTATAGCTTAGCACAGGTAATTAAAGCATCATTAAATATGAGATTTTGAACTTTAAGACCCTGTAATATTGGATGAGAATGAGTTAAGCTTTGCGGGCTGCGCTCATCTCTGCCTGGCGCATTACGCATACGCGGCGTGAGCCCGTAAAACTTTCCCTGCAGGGACGTCTAATTAAAACTTATTTTTGCAGTTTACCAAGACAAGGGGATGTGTTCTCCCTCAGCCCCATTTTACCGCTTCAGTTGTTGTTGATTATGTTGACGCCAATGGAAATATTTATCAAGTCATCGCGATGCAGGTGGAATATATGGTACGCTGTTGCTGCTGCGGGCAAACAATGCAGATTACGCATACGCCATGTGTTTCAAGAGTGGTTGAGTGTGAGCGTGTCAAGTTGTGTGTCCCAAAAACGTAAAATGACGCGCAGCGTAGCAAAACTTTGACTCTGATTTTGACACGTTGACACGGCTTAGCTTTTCATCTGTGTGCTGAGCTCAGTCGCCACAAATTAAAATCTCGGCAGTGCAAATTAATTCAGTTAAGATGGGATAAACGAGCTGATTTTAGTGCTCCATTCCAGGCCTCGCTTTAAAGTCCGGCAATATTTACGAGTTGTCCCATGGAATACCATCCTACCATATCCTTCCAATCCAGAAGCTACAGGCCAAACACTGCGGTAGCCAGGATGCTGACCAGGGCGACATCTAATGACCACACGGCTCGTTTGCTTCATTTGCAATGAAATGGATGCACAACCGCAAATCAAACACAGCAAACTGGGTTGGGAAAGGGCAGTGAGATAGAGAGGGGGGTCCGAAAACCAGCCACCATGAGAATTGAGAAATTTGCCAGAAAACGTTTTGACAGTTGAACTCTCGGGTCTGTTATTTGATCTCCGTTTTGGGCATCTAGCACTTGGTAAGGCCACCTCTTTTTTGGTCGAATTCCGTTTTCAATAGAAATGCAAATCCAATTCCGTTCCACTTCCAAGGTTCCTGACATTTACAAGGTAATCCGATGAGATTGGAGGTCCAATATTTAAGTTATTTCCTTGACAAATCAAGGCTAGTGTTCAGAAAAGGTCCGAGATCAGAATTTCTGGTAAAAAAATTAGACTTTGGGATTTGATTTGATCAAAATCCTAGGATAGAGCTCAACTCAGTGGATTAAATGAAATTTAAAGCAAGAAAACAAACTGCTCCGAAAGTGATAAATACTAAATCAAGTTGGCTGCCAACTAGACGTGCTATCCAATAATAATGTGGATGAGCAGATTGGACAGCAAATATTGCCAGCTATTTGCCAGATTTGAAGGGATTGGGCATGCTTAAGCGAATCCTTGAGTTTTCTGTTATTTTGTGGTTCATTACGTTCTGGAGCGCAAAATCAACGCTGTCTCGATTCTTGGCATCGTCGCCGAAGTTTGCATTTGCCTCACACATACTCGATAAACTCGAGCGTAGACACGTACGACAGTTGCTCCTCCTCTTGGAGACCCTTTCCGTGAGATTCTGGTTCTGGTAGCTGCTCCATCAACAGTTTGTGGCAGCTTGTTGAAATTAATCATTTGGCTGCCAAGACGCAGTCTTCGCATCGCTTTTTACCCTTTGTCAGGGGTATATTAGTTTGAGTTATGATTTTTTAAGGGTATAAACTCTGCTCTGTAATGGAAGTTATATTAAGACAGTATTTTCCTTTCAAGATCTAATATAATAAACTTGTGCTATCTTTGACTATGACCACATGTTATTTAAAGAACTCGCGACTTTTTTCTATCGTTTTTTAAGTATAGATTCCAAAACTCAGAGACGTAAGTTCTTAAGAAATCTTTAGAGTATTACAAGTTGGCGGTCCTGAAGCAGACTTTCCAATTTCGACTGCCGCCCCTTTCGGTGCCATCTATAGCAATCAGTTGGCAGCCTCGACTTTCTCTTCCTCATCTGTCGCCATGTTGCTACTTCCGTTTCCGCTTCTAGTTGGCTTTGCGTGTGTGTGCGGGTGTGTGCAGTGTGTCAACAACATTATGTTGTTTCTTCAGCAGACGTGCGCGTGTGTGAGTGCTGGCATTCCACTCGCGTAATTTCCCATGGCAACTGAACATGTGAGTGCATCCTCGTCTTCATCCCCGGCGACATCCACTCCTTCTGGCAGCTGTTTCCTGTCTTTTCCAGTTCTCGCGACAATAACTGTGAAGATTTTTCCCTGCATTTGCTTACAGCTCGCTTATAATAAATTGCAATCATGACTTGAACGGCAACAGCCCAACCACTCGTTATTTGGCTGCTGACTCAGATTGTATCTGAAGGAATTTGCATGAGACACGCTCCTCTTCATTTCCCTCGCGCCACTCGAAAATTTTCAATCAGCCGCTCACTCGGCTAGAAATCCGTTTTCCGCTACTCGTTTACCATTTCCCACTTCCCACTTACTCGTTGTCGTTCGGGTGTGATTCCCTCGCCGCGATTCCCCCGAGATAACCAATTAGAACGCTTATGCACCTTTTAAGCCAACTTCACTGCAAATAAAACAAAATTAAATAAAAAATAAGTAAAAAAAAATCTCTTATAAAATCAAAACGTAAAGCGTAATTACAAATAAAATAATAATTCATTCCTTTTTCAGTTTCAAATTTGATAAGTCTCAAGATAATAAACAGACTAATAATGTGCTTAAAAATCATGTGATTTATTGATTAATTTAATGGATTTTCGATAAAGGAAACACATTTATTTCGATCACGCCCCACTTTTAATCTCAGTGTCCGCATCTCAATTAAAAGTGCGAATTGTCATCAGTGCGGAAAATGTTTAACGTGGATGTTTTTATGCCTGATTAAACAGGAGGGTCGGGGGATAAAACCCAGAAGGGAGACACCAACCTGTGTACGAGCATATTTTGTCATTTCCATCGCTGACAGCAGCCACGTACCAAAAACAAAAGTTGAAAGAAAGGCCAGAGGAGCGAAAAACTTTTTGGCCAACATTTCGGAATCGGCTGGCTTTGGCTTTTCCCCCCATTTTCCTGACTTTCCTCGCATTTCCATCATGAGGCTGTTGGCTTGTTATGTGTTGCTGTTTCAGTTCACTCGCTGCTTTGAATTACAGGCAGTGCATGGCAGGCAAATTTATTGGCAAATTGGGAGCACAGTGGTTTCCTTTCATTTCCCTTTTTCTGGCGGAGGGGACGGGGCACGTGTGTGTGCCGTCGCACTTGAGTGTATTTTTTACAGCTTGCTTTTTGTTTATGTTGTTTTTATTGATTGAAAATAACTTAGTGCCGTTTTATGTGCCACCTTCTGGATGAGAGCGGGGGAATAAACTCAAGCGCTTTATGCCAAAGGTAAATAAAGTGCAAGACATTGGGGGAAAGTTGTGTGCTCAGCGCCTCGTGGGAATCATTGCAGACCCTTGAGCACAGTTGTCAGCCATATATATGAGTTGCTCTCCAATGATAATCCTGAATAATTAGAGGGAATTGGCGCGTGGCCCCGCAGAGACACCATCGTATCAGGAGAGATCTGCTCACTTAATGCACTTTGGCATATGCGTAAATTGCCCATGGTGCGGGTGCTAATTAAGGGGGCTTTGTGCCCGAGGGCTCAACGTTAATGAACCGACCGCAGAACCACCAAGGCAAAAGCCCCACCAAAGGGAGCATCGCAACTCAACAATGTGTATGTGGGGAGCCCTTTTTTTGCGCGAGGGCTCAACCTGTTGACCCAGCTGCCCATTTGTCAGTGCCGGCGAAAAACATGAGTGCTGAGAAGGGCAGCAAGCGATGCGAGGGGTTTACAGACCCCCTCGAATTCTCTAAGAAGATTCTGTAGCTTAGCTCGTTAAAATGAACATAATGGTTCAAATATTAAAAATAGAATTTTGTTTCATTTATATAGAATTAAAGTGTTAATAATTGATTTGGTTTCCACCGCTTTCCCAATAAGGCTTATAAAGCATTGGCAAACTCCCCGGAAAATTCATCCTTATATCCCAACTGACTAAGACCCCATTTTTATTCATTTTACTGGTCGTTCAGTCCTTTTTTTTGGGGGACTGCCTCTGCCTTCGACTTGACCATATTAATTAGCTTGATTAAAATTAATATTTGCTCAACTTTTGCGACGCCACGAAATGTTGTCGACGGATAAAAGAAGCGAAAGAAAATGTGGATGGAGAGGGGCAGCAGCTGTGGCAAATATGTGCAATAAATAAACATTTCGCCGCTGTGACAGCCCTTCGGGCAAAAGGTACTTCAACTGTAATAAAGCAAATATAAAGACAGCCAGCTCCGTTTTATTGAGCGGAAGCGGAGCACGACCTGCGACCTGCGACCTGCGACCTTCGACCCCTAACCTCCGACCGCCGACCGTGAGCCAAGTGGCAACAAAGTGCGCGCGGATAAATCCTGATGCGTCAGTTTGGAACCATGAAAAGTGGGAAGTGGAAGCCACTGAATGGAGCCATGAAAAATGTTGGCGTATTCATTCGTTTGGCTACGAGTGTCACCAGCACATCTATCCCCTGCCACTTTATTTTCATGCACAGAGAATAAATATTTAAACATGTAATTTAGGAATTGAAATGGGAATAGAGTGATTGTGGTATTTATTTTCCATAAGTCTTCTGAAGTCAGACCAGTAAGATGCTTAAACGTAGAAAAAAACAAACTTATATTATTATCAATTATATATTTTTATTAATAATCTGAAAAATTATATGAATTACATGACTAACAGTTAAAGAATACAATATATAGATATATGTCCAGGTATTTTTTCTATGTGCAGTCGTCCCCTTTGGAAACACGTCCTGGATGTCGTCACTGTTTATTTGGCCGATTCCGTTTCATGTGCTTTTTGTTTTACGAGCATAAAGATAAATTCACACGCCACCAAACTCACGAGGATTTACGGAGAGAAAGTGCAGGAACAAACGGATGGAAAAGAAGCCGTAGTTCAGGTCGACCGCCCGCCGTTTTCGGTCATCCGATTTATTTATTTATTTATGGTAACAAATTGCAGCGTCAACTTAATCACCGAGTTCTATTAGTTTCGGTGGCCATTGTGCAGGATCCACTTGGCCAACTCATTTCACGGCTTTATACAAAGTCATTTCTCTTGGCCCGCCCGACATTTGTATCTGTATCCGAATCTGCAGCGGTTTCGGTTCCCCCGGGGCGGCACTCAATAAAACAAGTTTAATTAATTAATCATTATTCTGGCTTGGCATTTCTGCTTAGACTTTTCTGTTTATTCAAGTTATCCGAGTCGTTGGAAGGTCGAGTGTGAATTGTGGGGTGGAATCGAATTGGATTACAATACTAAAACTTACGGCTTAGTCTTGAGGAGTTCTCAAGTGTTTTGGCTTTCGCCCTTACATCTCTGGACTCCTACATGATTCATGGTTCGTCTGCGATGATTAATCAAACTGACTGACTGCTAGCCCCTACTCTACTCTGATTCTCGGCTGATGCTAAGTCTAAACTTTAAGTACGATACTTAGTATTGCTCACTGGATACACTGTAGATACACCGCAGATATTGCCGTCCTGCGGCGGCACAACAACAAGAAAACAAACACGGATCCACTTAAATCTAGGGTACCAAGGAGGCAAGGGTTAAGAAGCGGGTTAATCACAACTTGCGGGGTCAACTGGAGCTGGCCGTCAGCTCATCTACTTAAACTAGATGAGAGGATCAATCACATGGCGAAGGAGGTTCTACACAGAGAGATGCGATTATGTTTAAAACTATGTTTAAGCGACCTCGATGTAATAGTATCCAAAGATTAATAAGCCTCAAAAATGTCACTAAAATTATAATCAACAATTAAGAAAAATAAATATCCAAAATTTTTGAGTGAGTTTGGCTGGATCGTTGCCGATCAGCCGATACCCTTATACCGTTTGTAGGGTATAAAAATGAGAATAAAAAAAATATTATGTTCTTTCTTGGCTTAAAACGTTGGAATTAAGCCTTTAAAATGAACATGTCAACCAAAATTCTCTGAAATGTTGAGAAATTATTAAATAATAAGTCTTAAATATTTAAAACAAAATTATACTCTGAGAGATCAATCCCATATAAATAACATGTTATACAAAAATAACAATTTTCCTGTCAAATACCTAAAAACTTGGCAACTAGAGTTAGTCAATATACTATTAATAGGTTTATTCAATAAGCGAATACTGATGTTAGTTTTTAGAAAACTATGCTGATACTAAAAACAAAGACTCAATACGAATATCTAGACGAATGCTACTTCTAGGCAGAGCACAATGTGCTTGCATTTTTCTCTGTGCAGCTGATTCTGCTAAGTTCAGGAAGATGACTAGCTAGGAGTAATAATAAATGAGGAAAGGGGGTTCCTATCGTGACTTATCTAGCGTTCTAACCTAATGCGTTTGATTGCTTTAAGCTGATGATTGGTCAGTTGCACACGCGCTATTCTGGGAGGCAGAATCTGTGGGTGTGTCGTTAAATAATTGCTTGGTGTTTCGCTTTTAATTGACGAGGACTTGGACTTGGACTTGGACCGTGGACAAAGGACAGGGCATCTACTCTAATCCAGGCCGTTCGCAGGCGTCTGCTCCTCCTCCTGGGAATCACCCAGGGAAAGCCTCGACTTGGCCGCCGTCTCCATCGATTTCCAGGTACCTCCACTGGTTGCCTGTTGCAGGGAAATGCGAGGTATGGACTTGCAGCTTCCCAAGATGGAAGTACTGTCTCCGGGACGATCCTCGGATTCGGCCAGAGCGCTGAGACTACAAGTGGGCGGCAGAATGCGGTGGGGAAAGCGAGGGGAGCCCCTCACCCTCTCTCTCAAACTGGGGGCCGGTTGCACCACCGAAGGTCTGCGGTTGCTGGGCAACTGAAAGTTCACCTTGGTCTCCAGCAGTTTCACATACTTTCCGCCCAATTGCTGATCCACCTGCTCTCCCCCCGAAATGGTGGGTATGGGCAAAAAATTCGGATCCTTGGTGAGGTGATCCAGGTGGGTGCCACTCTTGGTCAGGGAACCCCTGTGGATGGGCTTGAGGTGATTGCCATTTGGGTGGGATGACTCCACGGGCATGGAGTCCTGATTTGGACTGTTGTAAATGGCATTGCAGGAGGCCGTTTGCGAGGAGGGAATCAGACGGGTGAACAGACCCATGTGCGATTTGAAGGCCGCTTTCAGACCCTTTTGATCCGCCAAACTGGCCGTGGAACCCTTGTTACTCGAAGTGGTGCGCGAGAATATCCCTCGCAGTCGGTTGATCAATCCCGTCTTGGCCTCCGTGGCCTGTTGGTGGGCTAGCCGAAGGTTAATCAAGTCCTGTGCCGGCAGGCAGGCTTCCTCCAGTTGGGGCTGCGAGGCAAAAGTCACAGACCGCCTCATCGGGATCTGCATGTACTCTGCTGAGGGCCAACTGGCTCGGGGAATCACCGGTGGCAGCACGGAGAGCAGAAGATTCGGTAGTATTCCCGAGATACTCGGTGTTCTGGTTTTACTGGCAGGCGGAGCTTGCGAAATCCCAGTGGTGATTGTCAGTTCCGGCTTCAGGTGACCACCGCCAGTAAGAAGGGACGTGGAGGACGACGTCGTGGTGGACGTGGTGGTCAGTCCGGACTCCAGCAGTCGCTCCAACTTGCGGATCTCGGCGTCCAAGGCCTGTATCTCTTTTTTGTAAACCCTGTTCTGCACTTCCACGCGATACTGCAGTTCCCTTCGATCGTCCACCACGAATCGTCGGGTGTTGCACTCCATCTTCAGACCCATGCTGTGGATTACCGGGTCGATAATGTCGTCTGCGGGGTAAAACTCGAGTTATGAGGACATATCATAGCTGGGTGAAAAGTAAAAGTGGGTTAACGAATACAAAATGATAAGCACGAAATCTAAATCTAGAAATATTAGGAAGAAATTAAGAAAGCGTTGTAAAAAAAATTAAATATAATATAATATAGTATAGCAAAATGAATAACTAGATATAAGATTATTTTGTTATTGTCTTGTACTTACTTCTCGCCCAGATGTCGTGAAGTTTGGGAATGAAAAGCAGGCAAAGCGTGGCCGTGGTGCTGGTTAAAATCAGAGCCGTGATGGTGATGAAGGCCAGGGTGACTCGCTCCGAAATCAAGTTGGCCAGCACCACGACAATGGCGCTGGTGATGACCACACTGTAGACAGAGACTCCAATGTACTGGGAGTCATTCAGGGCGGGGATCTTCACATGCCGCGTCTCCCAGGCCATGTACACACCCACCACGAGGAGGAGGCCCTTGTAGGCGTACAGGACACTTAGCCACGTTTGTGTGTGCTGCGAACGACACACCTCCACCTGAAAACAATAATAGCAGACGGAAAGGACTAATTGATATTCTTGAAATAACTTATTTGTGAGTGTTCCCAATACCATAATTTAATGTGCCATTTTTATTTATTTACTGTGTGCTAAACAAAATATTGCATTTTTTTAAACATTTAATCCAGCAAATAAATAAAGAAACCCCTGAAAACAATATTTAATGTTCTGTATTTTTAACACGTTTGAGTTTTCTGCTCGATTAAGTTTCAATATTTGTTTATTTTAATTCTTTTGAATAACAACAATTCTTGGATCTCGCTTGACAGTTTTAAATAAAGCAATCAACTCAGAATGAGATTTAATTGAATAAATAATAGCATTGCAAATAATATTTAGCTTTTTCGTATTTTATTTATTTGTTGAGCCGAAAAAATGAAACTGCGAATGAAATCCTTTGAATTTTAAATTTTAATCAGCGACATGTATGATTATTCGTCTTTATGGACTGGAAGTATACACTGCATTCCAATTAAAAGACGATTTAAACGAATAAGTAATTGCATTGAAACTAATATTTAATTAAAGCCATTTGTCCACATGAATGAGGACGTTGAGCATAATTAAAAAGGTGTTAGTTAAACAATTGCCATATGAGCACTGTCACAAAAGAAAATAGCAAGTAAGTAAATGAAATAAGTGCAAGTTTAAAGGCATTTGTGTAAATGTAAATAACTTTTTTTTAATTAATAGTTTATATTACCTGCGGCTGGTAGACGACACTCCTATCGATGGCGCTTATCTCGAGCGTAAGATTGTGGAGATGCCGCTCCATGGGATCGGTGACCACCCAAAGGGTAACCAGCAACGCATCCACCAGAAGCAATCCGCCGACGAGCAGGATCAGTTGGATGTCCTGCAGCATCTTGTCCTTAAAAACACTTCCGGTGCGCGTAAAGATCCTGTGAACTCGGTAGGTTTTGGCAAACATCGATCCAAAAGCCAGGGAAAATCCGGCGGAGAGCAGATAGACGCGTGCCTGCACAACATCATAAGCGGATGAGACGGAGGTTAGGGGTACATAGGTAATACTGTATGAACACACTAATTGTCATGTCAGGCAGAACCCAAAGTAAACCAGACCGGCGGCAACATTGGAGAAAATCATCAATGGACCACAAGTCTTGGAGTGATGGAGACTTTGTTGTGCGTTTCAAATTTATGCAAATAAAGGAATATCACAAAAGTTGTAAATTTCCTTGTCATGTGTTTGCATTTCCCAGCCCCCCAGCCACCACGAGGGTTTCAACAATAAGAAAAAACCAACTGGCAGCTCGAAAAGCGGAACAGGAGGCGAAATGGTTACAGGAACAGAAACAACAGCGACCAGCAAATTTCCCAGGAGTGGCGTTCGAGGCAGTTGTTAAGGGGAAAACAGGGGAAGGGGCAGCAGATCTGGACGGAAAGCTCGTCAAACTCGACTTGTCTTCTAGCTTAAAGAGCAGGAGATTTGCAGTCTAATCCGTTGGCTATTTATAGCAAGCTGAGAAGTCGAGCGAGTAGAAAATACACTTGGAAAAATAAAAAAATTGCAACTAAACTAGACATTTCCAATCCTATAAACTATGTATATTCTTTATCCTATATATTCAGTCGATATATCCATGTTAGTCTGTCCTTCTGTACGTCAGTTTCTACTATCGAAAAATGTATATATTTAATATATTGTTTATGGCTTTATAGAATACTAAATTTTTTTAAAAGCTGCCGGGGTACATAAACTTCGGCTTGCCGAAGCTAACATTCTTTCTTGTATTAAAAGGCTTATAAATATCCCCTTTGAACATTAAAAATGTTGTAATACTAAGACCAATTCAACCTAACACTAAAAAGTAATATATTCTTTGCAGTGTATAAGTAAAGCAAACACATAAACGCGGCTCGGAAGTTACCAGCCTAAAACTGAAAGTCATATTTGATGAAGACCCCACATGCTTGCTTACACGCCAGAAACCCGTCAAAGTCAAACAAAGAAGGCAGAGCGAAAAGAAGGATGCGGAGGATTTGGGAGCCGAAGGATAACAACTCACCGTGCAGACCGTAGCGAAGGAGTCCTCCGCCGAGGGCAGCGTCGAGTGGTCCAGACCCAAAAGGATGACGGTGGCGTACACAAAGATGCAGCCCACTGCGGTGATGTTGCTCAGCTTGGGGCTGGAAAGTTTAATTGCCCTGTGGAGTGAGATGGGAGACGGTCATGGTTATGAGACGAGGTGCCTCCAATCCTTCACAGAAAAAGTGCAAAGTAAGCATTGGGTGCGGAACACATAACTGAAGCTACATTTATAAACTCCTGAAGAGTTGAGAATAAATACAGTAATCAATTAGAAATCAGTGCAAGTGGCAAACCTAAATGGGTTTACCACAAGCTAAGGCAAATTAAGAAAATAAGTTAACTAAGGTTTGAAGGTAAAGAATCATACCCGTTTCAAACTCCCAGTTAAATAACCACTTAATGGAAAATAAAATATTAAAAAACAAATAAAAGGGCCATAAAAGGAGTAAGCCAAGTGATTAATGATCTTTTCGCCTTACTTGAGCTTGCGAAAATGCAAATTGAAGGCGAGAAAGGCTATGGCCAGGGCAATCCCCACGCTCGAGAGCGTGGCGATGGTGTAGAAGGCCAGTGGAGCGATGGTGGCCACCCGCAGCTTGAACACCCGCTTGGCGATGGGCACCTGCCCGCTGTGCCACTTCACCGGCCGGCAGCGAGGACACCGGAAGTCCAGGGCATCCGTCGCCGGATAGTAGAGGGCCACCGGTTCCAGAAGACCGCGCTGGATTTGGTAGAAGGCGGTGGTGCCAACGCGATCCGGTCCGCTGAAGGAAACTGGACCCTAAAATACATAAAACGCCGATAACAAGACCACCTTAGAGCACTTCCTCGAAATTTGAGTAAATTTTACTGGCTTTAAGATTAATGTTTTTTCTTGAATACTCCTGTTCGTCGTCCTTAAATTACTCACCGATACTCCCAGAAAGTGCAGCTTGCCCATCTGCTGCAGGAACTCCCAGGCCATGTCGCTCCGAGTGTAATCGAATCCGTCCAGCTTCGACTGCTCCTCGTTGCGCCGCCAGTGCTCCTCGGCGGCTCTCAAGGCCAAAGCAATGGCCCACACGGCGTCGTAGGTCTGCGGTGCATACTGCGATATGGCCTCCGGGAAGAGGTGACCTCCGCTTCCACCCAACCCCCTCCTCCTCCGCCGGCGCGAATCCGATTGCGGTGCGGTGATACTGATCCTGGAGCCAGAACCGGAACCAAATCCTTCCTGGCCGTGGAACTGGGCGGATTGTTTGCGCAGCTGCGAGTTGAACATGTGATTGTTCTGTGAAGTGGAAACGCGATTAAACAGACCACGAATGCCGCAGGAATGCCGCCAGTAATGAGATTGGCTATACCAGATCCCCTTCCCGGAATTGAGGCCCCCGCACTCCAGCCACAATTTCATGACCAGCACTAAAGGAGCCATAAAAGTGCGTCTGCGATGGCGAATGCGAATGCGATGACAGGCAGGACTTAGGCGGCCCACTTGGCAATCACCATCGCCATCGCTGGAGCCATCGCAAAACGCAATCGCAGCCTCGGGATTGTCTAATCAAATAAATCATTTCGTTTTGGACGCGCACGGAAAGGACAGACAAAACAGAATAAGGAGCAGGACAACCAGAAGGACAAGGCAGCCGGCTGTTTATAAAAAGAAAACGGATAGAAACGTTAACGCAAAGCTGAAATAATGCCGAAAAAGACAGCTCTAAGGAATTTTGGAGATCTAACAAGGCTGATACGGTATGCCGAGTCCGTAAAAGTAATCTATTAAATATTTAATCTATTTTAATATTTTTTTCAAAATTACTGAGTTCATCTTTTTAATGCATTTTATTTTACTACCAAACAACATGCTCCTTATATTCTTATTGGTGTCCTAGAATAGATTTTATCTATATTTATTCTCTTTAATACTAATTTGGCTTAGAGTTTGGGAAGTTCTTGAATGGAATTAAATATTGAATACTATTTTTCTCCAGTGTCGCCCCTCAAACTTACCAGTCCGCTGTAGCTGACGTTATTTCCAACGATGCTGTTGTGCGTGGACACCACGATAAGGTTTTCGACGGCCAGCTGCAGCTCGTGGTTGGAGCAGGCGGTTCGCTGGTCCGGCCACCAGGGGGCGCCCATGCTCTCGTGGAGGATCCAGGCGTAGTCCGCCCCGAACATTCGCAGCCTGTAGGCCTCGCACAGGATTTGGGGGGCCAGCTCCTGCGAGAAGCTGCCGATGATGATGCGCGTGTCCGTCTCCTGTGGCGATATAAACGGAACGGAACGGCATTTGGCCATTTGTCATTTGTCATCCTTCGATTTGCACTGGTGCCCGCCCACACTCAAAAAAAAAGTGTAACAATCATGCTGAAAAAAGGAGCTCTGGGCGATATGGTTGGTCTGCTAATGGTGAATCATTTATTCAAGCGAGTAGAGGCAATGGTCTTGACCCATTAAATTTAAGGCAAAAACTGTGCAATAAGTTGAAGTCATAGAAAGATAACGATGACATTATTAAGAAGAATATTTGTAAGAGCTTTAAATAAAGTTGGAATAAAAATGCCTTTGTGGAATATAACATTTTGATTCTGAATATTATTTCATGCGTAAGCTTTTTAAGTAACCAGTTAACATTGGAGTTTTTGTTTATATTTTTCATTCTCAGCCAGAATATTAGTTTCAAGAAAAAAGAGTATAGTAGTATTGTTAAAAAAGTTTTTGTATATGTTGGTCTCAAGTGTATAATTTATATTTGTTTCAAAGTGTGCTTTTAATGCACTCAAAAAGCAACCAAAACAAAAACTTTTGAAATTCAAAATGTGCCATAAAATCATCCAACAGTTTGCATTTATTGTTAATAATCTGGTGCACTCGTGGCATTTATGCGGCTTACCCTGAGTAGCAGCAGCTGCTCCTTGAAGTCGGTGGCCGCGAAGGTGATGGTGGCGGCACAGGATATGTTCGCCGCCTCGAGCTCGGTGACCAAATTGTTCACCGCCAGCGAATGGACCTCCTCGTTCTGCGAGAATGTGGTCACCGTTCCCCAGCCAAACTTCCGGATGAAAGCGATGCGCGCCGGATTGTGCGAGGAATCCGGGGCCACGGTCCTGTAAAAGTAGGGGAACTCCCTCCTATCGCTCAACGCCGGCGATGTTGAGCCAAAGGAGACCTTTCATCGATGGAAATCGTTAGAGTATCTGCGTGTCCTTAAGGTCGCTTAAAATGCAAGACATGCTTCTAGGAATCCAGCCCTCCAGCTCATGTGTCTCCCCAGTTTCCCCACTCATTTAACACACGCACAGCCGAAATGAAACTTCAAAGGCCAAATGCAAATGTTCTAAGTGAATTTGTGGACCTCATAATTTGTGGGCTGTGGAAATGTTTATGGCTCAAAGGTTTATGGGGTGCTGGAATCGGCTGGATTCCCCAGCATTTATGCTAATCGAGCTACGCACGTGAGTTGATTAGATTTTTGAGAAATTGCCCGATTAGGAATGGGTAGATGATGAACCGAATGAGGTGGATGGGAAGGATATCTACATTTTAATCAGTCGCAGAGGACTCACCTGCACGATGTTCCAGTAGGGCACCACCTTGGCCAGGCTTTCGGTGACCTCCGAACAAGCCGATCCCAGCAGCATCACCATCCTCGTCGAGGGCTGTGTGTAGATGGCGTGGAAAAAGCGATCCACGCCCACTCCAGGATCACACTGATTGCCAGATGGAGAGTGGGGAGAAATGGAGGAGAGATGAGCAATCGGGGGCAGGAAAATAACAGGGGGCAAAGGCCGTTGTTCACCGACTCGTTTCGCCGTCATAAAAAAGCGGCAAGATGGCGCAATAAACATTTTTAAAATGTCGACTTTGATAGAGGCACAGCCGGAGATGCGGCCCCAGATATGACTGTCTGTTTCGGTAGATGTGCATATGCATACACTTAAATAGCAAGCGTTAACAACAAAAATTATTGACATCTTAAAAGGGGAGAAATCGAATTTCTTTGGGTATATAACCTTTTTGCTAGATCTCATAGAAGCTTTTCTTCTGAAAAGCCTTTTGATAACAGGCTCTTAATTTTCCACAGTGTCAGTGCTTTTGTACATTTCCGTGCCCCATCAAAGTGGCAACGACTCATCGCAATAAAAGCGCTTCAGACGGAACGTTGATGACATATTTGCCCCTCTTTTAGGACCGCAACCGCAGCTGCTCTCCGGTCTGTTCTTGTTGCTCAAGATTTTTCTTATTAAGTTTTAATGTTGCACGCGCTACTAAATGAAAATTCAATTTCGTAATGGAACAACGCCGCCTAGAAGTGGCACTCGACTTGCGGCTTTCGGCTTTTTAACTCACCTGAGTATCGTTGGTCACGAGTTCGAGGGTGTAGCCCGGCAGCAGGCGCTTGCGGTTGATGTGCTCCACGGCCATGGTGGCAGCTCCCAGTTCGCTGAGTCCATCCGGCCGGGGTCCCCTCGATGTGGAGAGCTCAAAGAGTCCGAGCAGCACGATTTTGCCGTGATTGCGCTGCACCTCGGCCGGCGACATGCGGCGCTCGCTCTCGAACACCTGGTTGACCTTCAGGTAGCGCTGCCTGGGCGGCAGGTTCACGAGGGGGTGGTGGGAGTGGGCGTGGGAGGCATTGGTGCTGCCGGGCAGGTTGCTGTGCGAATTGAGGCGCTGCTGTCGTCGCTTGACTTTCGTCCGTTTGTATTTCCAGTCGGAGCGGGGGGCACTACCAATCCCGCCGCCAGCCACTGTCGATTCTCCGGGTGGCGAACTGGATGTGCTAATTGAGGCAGAGCCCGGGCTAATTGCCTCGTAGCCCAGGGCCTGCAGCTCGGCCGAGGACTCCATGGCTGCCGCTGCCGCCGTGGTCCAGGCAAGGGCCAGGAGTAACCGAAGTCCTACGGCCGGCCATTGGCCGTATCTGGTCCTTGGGCCCGGTTGAATTATGCGCATCCCGTCGGCAATGGCCAATGGCCCATTAATCACCAAGGCATTTGAATCGCAGGCTATCAGAGAGGCTGCAGCAACAAACACGAGACACGCAGGACACCGGAATATATATCTCCTTTTTATGCACTCTGCCGACAGGATACGCTTATCGCCTCGCTTCCTCTTCCTCTCACTCGCACTCGTCCCTCTGCTCCTTCCTCCTGTATCGGCGTCAATTTTATCGCCTTTTTATTGGCCTCACTTTTGCTCGCATTTTGTATCTTTTTGCTCTGCTGCCTCCCACACACTCACTCCGCAAAGTATTCGACCATAAAAGTATGCAATGCTGAGGAGATTGTCGATGGGTCCGATTGACAGGATTGGGTGACACGGAAAAAAATTACACCACGAACTGTTGGTATTTATAGTCCGAGAAGTCAACAATTGTCAAAGTCAATAAAGCAATCAATCTAATCACTATTCGAAGGTCTTTTGGATGATTTTCGTAGAATTAAGTTCATTCTGAAAACCTTTAAAGGTAAAATTCTCCGTCGATTAGTTATAAAATTCCTTAAGATACATTTCACACTTAACACAATTAGGCTCGTTTTCTCGTTTTAATGGTAAACTGGCAATTTCATGCATTTTCTGACTATAAGCGTACTTTATTTTAACAGGAGGTCAAGAAAATGGGCCTCACACGATTTGTATCAATCCCTATTTAATTTATTTTCTGACTAAGTTTACGAATTTCTTGGCACTTTTATTAGCAATTAGGCTTAGTGGCACATACTTTATTAAGTTGCCTAAGTCTGTGTATTAAATAAAAAACCAAATATTTTAAAATTACTTATAATACAGGGGCCGCCCTCTGTGAAAACATTGATTTTTCTCCTTGTGCAAGGGAATGGTCACGAAAAACAGAAATCGAAAATGCTTGGGGAGCCCCAAAGGGCATTTTTACGCCAATTTACCAGTTGAAAAGGATTAAGACGAAGTCTTCGATGAAATGGACACGTTCCTTCAACTCCCCTTTTGCCACCACCTCAGATTTTGTTGTTATGTGGCTGCCACTCGGCCATTATTTTTTATGCTAATGGCCAAACATTTTGCGCTTTCATTGCGGGCTTTTGGGCTACTTTTTGTCGAGTCTCACGCGCCACAGATTTCAGTGAAACGTTTTCCCGCTGTATGCGCGTGTATGCATAATTGTTTCGAGATTACCAACTTGCAGTCCTCCCCCGCTTTTCCACATTTCCACCACCCACTCACCCACACCTAAGCCCACTTTATGGACGCTTTCTTTCTTGCTTTCAGCTTTCTTTCAATTTTGTAGCACGCTTTTCGCTGTTCGCTTAAAATAACTTTTTGGCCCATTTCGTTGTGAAGCCCGCTTTGTTTTGTCCTCAGAGTTCTTGCTGCGAACAGTGGCGTGCCCGAAGGGGGTTCCAGCCCCACTTAACCCCTCTCTGCCACTCTTTAACCCCTGGGTGCACCGCCTACAGTTGACATTTGCCCTCCACTCTCCGCTTCCCTTGCCTAGCCCCCTTTGCACTGGGCTACTCGTGTAGCTAACAACTCATATTTGTATATGCACTGGCGAAAAACGAGGAAAACAAACCAACAATGTTTGTGGCTTTCATTTCGAGACTCAAATCAAGGAAAAATATGAAAACTTTTTCAGAACTTGCAATCTAGTGGAGCGGGTTGTGACACTTTATGCCTTAACAAGTTGCATGAAATGTTCGGATTACGTTGATGTATGCTTATACATTTTGGCAGCTTGGTCTGCGAAAAGCATTTACTTAAATGCAATTTAGAATTCATTTAAAATTTTGAATAACTTCAATATCAATTTAATTTAAGCTAGCTTAGCTTTTGATCAATATTGACAGTTTAGTTTGGAAATTAAATTATCAACAGTGGAATAGAGCATTGCACAGTGAAGTTTATATAAACTGAATTATAATGCGTTTATATTTCAAACATTGACATTGTTAAAAAAAACAATGGGTGTGAGAAAATCACTTTAACAAATTGGAAATGCCTGCAAAACCGAATTGTTATATATAATCGACAAACTCACAAACTTAATTTAATGAAATAATCAACATCGAATTGAATTCAATGCGTTTGGTTTTTAATAAGCTGTGCTTATTTAGAAATTTTATTAAATTAAACTATAGTGACATTAATTTAATGCGTTGCTAGGATATGTTTGATAATTTCATTTTCTAATCAGATCAAACCAGTCTTGGGGTAACACTATTAAATGTTTATGAAGTGACGGGTAGATTTAGGTGGCTTAACCAATTTTGTTCTGGGAATCGAATGGTCTACTTAAGCCCTCCCTCTCCCTGATTTCTCCCAGTGCAATGTACATTTGAGTATATGAATATTTAGCTGCTGCTCTGCTTTGGTCCTTTCTATTATTCTGCCATATTTCACAATTGTTGCCGTGGTATTTAAACCTGCACTTATTTATGGCTATGTGTGCTGCGGCCCCTCCGCATCTCTCCCCCACATTTTGGTCATCGCTCGCTTTAGTTGTTATTTTCATGCTTGACATAAATTATGCAAAATGCTGGCTGCATTTGTAATTCAGATTCCATATTTCGCTGCTCGTCGTGTGTAAACTGTGAAACTGCAACTGCTGGCACAATGTGCTGGCAAAAAAGCGAAAGAAAGAAAAACTGAGGGGGCAATGGGAGTTATGTGGGGAGAGTGCTGAGCAGCGAGCACTTCTTTGCCCATTCAGAGATTCAGAGACGCCATCCGAGATGCGATGTCAGAATGCTTGATGCGATTTGTTATGCAGCCAATACTCAGCTGCAGGCTGGTGGGTGTGGGAAAATCGCTTCGGGGATTTCCACAGGGATTACCACAGACAATGCAGATCCGCTTTTTCGGGTTCACTTGGCTAGTATGCTCGATACGCAGGCACAATAATCTTGGCTTACGAGTATTGTCTCTGCTCAGTCGTGGGAAATTGCATTCATAAATATTGCGTATACGACACAGGGCACACACACACTAGCACTGGCACACACAAATGACAATATATTGGCATTTCATACATATTTAAGCCATAATTTAATTTGTGTTATTTGCTTTGAAGTTTCGGCAGGCGAATCCCGCACGACGACGAAGTCTTAGATTTTTCGAGTGTTTTTAAGTCCCGGGTTTTAGCAACTGCGACGTGCAACCCACGAGCTCCAGACCGCAACTGTTGGCCGCCGTCGAAGTCCTGCTACTTTTGTCTGACGAATCGCAGATTGAAAGGACATCCTCCAAGGAGGCTGAGGTTTCAATTTCTATCATCAACCTTCAACCGGCTTCTCTCTCTCTTCTCCGATTTTCAGAGCGCCTGCGCCGTGAAAAGCGCGCCGAAAATTCATTCATGAAAACAAAAATCAGAGTTGGGGGCACACAAGCAACAAGCTGCGGCAATTGAAAACTGTGCAGGAAAAGTTTAACTTTAAATTATGCAAATTAATGCCCAACATGAAACTAAATAATTTGCAACTGTTTTAATAAAAAATTCATTTATCTCGCTGCCAGAAAATTGCCAGCTGTCGATTCGCATTCCCGTTCGCCAGAGAAACAGAAAATACTGAACAATGGCAGACTGACAGCGAGGACACTCTTAATTATGGCTGCATTGAGTAAGTCAGTCTGTCTGAAATTGAAATGCCCGCCTTGGCATTTGTTAAACATTTCAACAGAGGGGCAGGAGGGGCAGGAGGGGCAGGAAAAGCGGAGGGAAGTTCTCTGCTTTTTCCCAGCTTAGCTTGGCTTGCATAATATGCCCGAGTTTATTTTCCCTTTCCGTTTTACTGGTGGCCTTTTGCTGGGATCGGTTTCGTTTTCGTTTCCCCTATTGAGTTGCAATGGAAAATAATTTGATTTGATTGCTGCTCCTCATCCACTTCCATCCGCTTTCAATGGTATCCATTCAAAAAATTGTAATTAATTTTCTGGCCCTCATCCACCTACCACCACCACATTTCGTGGGGAAAACTGCATGCGAGTGGAATGGAGAAAGTTGATTTTATGAGCTGCCAAACTGCAGTTTGCACAAACTTACAGCCCCCTTCAATTTCTCTGCAATCCATTTGCGAAAATGATCCAATTCAATTCTCTTGTACACTAGAAATAGTTTTTACTTCCACCTAAAACCTGAATTGAAAAACTTGTGGTTGAATCCAAACTAAAGTGTTTGAGTGCCTTGTTTTTTTAAGATTTAATAATACCTTAAGTATATTAATACTTGGCGTCCGATTTACCTTTTGGGTAACAATTTAAATCAAATTTTTTCTCACTGTGTGGACACATGCAAGGTGACTGGGTGGTTGTAAAGGGGCGTGGCGCAAATAACGGGCCAGCCAAAGATTGCGATTATCGCCACTTGACTTGAGTCCCAGCCTCCTCGGCGCCATCCATGCAAATTTGATGGCACTTCTCCACCTACCCACCCACCGTCCCTGCTCGGGTGCTAAGTGACAGAAAGATACAGCATCCAATGGATTCCCGTACTTTCGTACAATGGCAGTGCAATGGGGACTGTAAATGGGAACGGGATTGGATTGCGACTTTTGTTTGGTTCCCTTGGCTGAAGTTGGCAAATAAAATGCAATTACACCGCAAAACTCAATTTCAAGTGTCAAAAGTTGCACTGCACTTAAGAAGTTAGCGATGGTGCGACTTCCCCCAATCCTCTATAAAAGCAGCCAGAGCCGAAAGGCCAAAGTTCAGCTGGGCCACAAAGCGGATTATAGGCACAACGACTTCCGAGCAGGCCGAAATAAATCCCGAATATGAGAGCCCCGTTGCGGGAGTGATCTTTCAGATAATTTATAGTCCAAATGGGCGATATATTGGCGTGTTCTGTTTATGTTTCTCTTTGCTTGCAAACTAATTTGCCGACATGGGAGTGAGAGCAAAGGTGGACGTAGCAATTGCCTCTGTACGAACGGCCTCCATTTGCATTTTAAATGGGGTGGCAGGAAAACTTTTTACAATGCCACTTGAAGTTGTCGGAGGAACTTCTCTCAGGCGGCTACTTGGAATACGGCTTGAAGATTGGACACCTACACAGTATTATAATAACAAATGCTGGTGTAGTGACGTAAAGACAGGAGGCATAACAAATGAGAAAGGTAAGAAATAATACTGGCGTTCTTTAGGGGGATTTCAAAGTAGTTGAAGTATATGTACATGACGTTTGTTATACAAATTGAATAAAGATTTCTAAAAACTGATTACGGATTAGAATTTTCAAATTTCAAATTACAAGCCATGTCTTTGTTTTATCTAAAGTGTACCCACTGTTCGTATTGGCTGACCGTTGTGTTAGCAACTATTTGTTGTTCGCTCGTTTGTCTCGTTTGGTTTGTGTAGCTCGCTTTGTTTGCGGACACTTGGCAAATTGGCAGCTTTCCCCGTCAGCAGGACAACTTTTGGGCAGGCCGGCAGTTTACACGTTCCGGTCTCTACTACCACTTTTAATGCTGTGGCACATGGCGTATGCGTAATTTAGTGCTGCATACTTTGCGGCGCAAATTTGCACTTTTGTGACTTGTTTAGCTACCCTCTGCTGATGTCTCCGCCTCGGCAGCACTTAAAATCAGAAATTCAATTATCTCCCACACACGCCTGCCCCTCACCATCCGCTTTTTCCACTTTTTCCCAGTCTCTCCCTTTGGAGTAGGCCTGGTTCCATTTCGCACGCCCATTTCACACCTGCGCGCGTTTTCAAGGTTGACAAAGGAATTGCTAAGGGGAGGCAGTTAGCTCAGAGGAGGGTGGAATGTTGAGCCACTGGCAACTTTATTGTTCCTCCGATTTTTTAGTCAACAGTTGAACGAGTTGGCCTCACCAAGTAGATTCAGCTAAATCCCTTTCCTTTTCAGACTAGTTCAAACAATTTGAACAGAAAAGTGAAGTGGGGCAGTTCTTTTTGGGTGGTTAACATCGCAAAAATTACCGATAAGCATTTTTATTTCTTTATTCAGAGCTTAGCGATAAACTTTGTTGGTAGAGTTAAGGACCAGTTAAAATCTACTTAAACCTTAATCACAGTTTGATGATACTAGTTATAGTAGATAGTTCGTTTTCAAACACGCTACCCAAACTCAAAAGCTTCTAAACAGTTTTTTTATACTGTCGACTAAAATTTTTTGTTGTGTATAAGACTTAAGTAAAGTTCTTCAAATCCGCGTCGCTTTCAGAGCAATTTAATTATAATTTTCTTCTTTTCGGGCCTGGTCTGGCGAAAAATTCATTATCGCCGGGCCAAATTAGCTTGAAAACAATTAACACCTGTTCGCCGGCTGCTCGTGGCAGGCCACTTCAAAAACTAACACGGCCGAGCCATTTACCTTTTGCAGGAGCTGGGTTGCCGATGGTGCCCCACCTTTCGTCCCGCCTATGCCTCTCTCTTATTCTAATGAAAAAAGTTGCACAAAAAACTTTTCAAATTACAACGGAAATCCGTGAAAATCCTTTTAACAAAGCACAACATGACCAGTTGGGGAAGGGGAGAAGGTCTCTGAGCTGATGCTGATGATGATGATTATGATGATGATGCTGATTATGATGGCGCTTTAAACAGACTTCGGCCCACATCTGCTGTAAGCCGACTACCACAAACACGTGCCACCACCGCCGTCACCACGAAAAACCACCGCCAGCACCACCGGCTGTCGTCCATTTTCATGTCGCGGTTTTCCCAGAGAGGAAAAGAAAAAGCTGCGACTGTGACTGAAGTTTGCAAATTGATTTAGTCGCCACTTGCTGAATAGACACTCAGAAAAAATATATATATTGTTCGTATGGCATAGATGGGTAAATAACATCACAGAAAGCATAAGTAATGGTTAAGAGTACCAAGTTTCATCCAAGATGCAAAATCATGCTTCAAAAAACACGACTAGGTTAGTTATCACAAAGACAACAAAACAAAAACGCGAGTTGGTGGTAGAAAAACTTCAGTTGAGAAACTAAACAGAAGTATTTGTCACAGCAAAATAAGTAAAAAGTATCTTTGTAAAAAAGTTATGTAAACAAATACGAACTTCAAAGCAGAAAACAAGTCGTTACACACAAGAAAGTATTTGTTTAAATTTGGATTATTTAATGTATTATGCGCAATACTCTAAATACTAATTTTATTTTACAGAACGGAACGCATAACTAAATATATAGTCATATTAAATTTTCCTCTAAAGATTCAAAGATATATTTTTTATTTTCTAGATTGCAGTATACTTTTTCACATAACGACTAGCAACTTCCATTCACTCACTCATCACTGAGGCTTCAACTGTTCAATCTGCAAATACATTTTCACGCACTTTCCAAAGTTTATTTATTGACTGCGGTTGAGACAGAACCTCTTACATTCCCCTCCACCATTCCCTGTTTTCCACACAGCAGTCGCTGACGTTGGGCAACTTTTAACTTTTAATGAAAAATATTCAATTTTTCAGGTGTTGCAAATATTTAACATTTTGCAACTTTCTGTATATGGATCCCAGAGTGGGTATAAGTGCCACACCCCCCGCCAAACCATCGCCACACCACAACTGCGGTTACCGAGTGGTTTTTGCGCAAAAAGGTTCAACCGGAGGGTACGTCAAGAAAAAAACCTGAAGCATTTTAAATGTTAATTAAGAACGGAGCAGAATTGGATAATTTGCATGTGCTCCGGTTCTGCAGCCTGGTTAATTGGATTAGGTTCCGTTTGAAAGTTAACGTTTTCGGCTTTTTCCCACCAAATTGAATTATCTGGCCCAAAAGTCCGCACACATTTTTTTGGCCAGCTCAAAACTGAACTTTATTTGATTTGTCCCGCGATCGGCAATTTAAACTTGATTTTGCCTGCTGATTGACAGTCAACTGATTTGATTTTTGTATCCCCTCGAATTGAATTAAGTTCAAATGCCCCTTTTCACATATTAACTTTTCTTATTTATTTGTGATTATTGATAAATATTTAGATACAATTTTTGCCGGCTGTACAAATCTAAAAACCTTTAAAGTTATATTTTGTTTTCTATTATGCGTCCTTTTCCTCCATATTTTCAAATAAAAATATAAAAATTAAAGAAAAACAAAATAAAAAGGAACATAACAAACTGTTAATGTAGGTGAGATTAGACTCTAATTATATTTTCAAATTTTTAATTTGAAATCTACGTAGAAAGTTATAGATTTTTTGTTGGGGAATTAGTATACAGACTTTCCGCTGCAGCCGCTGGGTCTGCGAATATTTCAGACTGTTTAATGCTGGCAGCGAAATGCTTTCTTTTATAGCAACCAGCATCAATTTTAGGGCCTTCAGCTATGTTCAACCAGTACAAAAATAAGCTTACATTTGCCGGTTATAAACAAAGGACAGCTGTTGCAGGAGGTACCCTGTAAATGAATTAATAATTTGCATAACAGCTTTTCCTTAGCAGGGACACTAACCCCATTATAGCACAAGCATTTTAATGGACATTGCCATAAAAGTGAAAAAGAAACGCAAATAAGTAAACAAATATTTGAGGAACAATACTAATTTGTTTGCAACAACTAGTGTCCTATTTTTCGACTAAAATAAGATATATAATTTTCTGTCGGTTTCCCAGAATTCGTGGACTTAACAATATTATGTTGAAATTCAAATATATAACATTTGATCTTTTCCAAGCCAAGCTTCTTTTCTTGTTTTAGTCTTATACCACAATTCCACATATTGTTAACAACTAATTGTTCGCCTATTTCGAATGTATTACTAATTTTTCACCTAATTGACATTTGGAGACTCAATAGCCGGCTTATGTAAGTCAACCTTTAGGGCACTCCCACTCAACTTTTACTGATCCAAGTCGGCACGCAAGTCTTATTTTCCGTCATCGTTTAAATAACACAGCTTATTTGTTATGTAAATTGGGCCTATAATAGGGGCTATCATTTGAGGAAGCCAGATTGCGGTGGCTAATTTGTTTTTGAAAGCATTTCTTACACATTGGAAGCACATTTCCCACTTTCCCGTTTTCCTACGAGCAGTGCACCTGCATCGCGCTCTAATTAAAATGACAAATCGAAACATACGAAAGCGTTTCATCTCAGTACCTTGGCATTTGACAGTGCGGCGTATGCGTAATTTTCTCAGCTTGTGGTTTTCTTGCACACTTCGCGTTGCAATTTTCCACTTTAGGATGAGATCGCAAGATCCACGCAAGTTGGAATAACAGAATACTTTACTTGATCATTTGAAATACCCAAAAAGAGTAGTAAGGGGTGTGCTGGACTTAGGAAAAGATTTAAATAATAATACATTTCAAAAATGTTTACTTAATAGAAGGGACAAAAAGAAATTAAAAACAACAAATTTATAAGTTCTTAAGAAATTATATATATATATGCAGCATGTTTCGAAGGAATTTTCTAATTGTGTAGTTCTTTGAAAGGTATTTTTCATTCGTCTCCCTCCGCCGTTAATCACCTTATTTGCATCTGGCATTCGTGTTTGCTGAAGGCAATTTTCGTAGAGATTTAAAGTGTGTCAAAGTGCATTAAACAATTGTCATTTGTTTTCGGTGTCGAAACGTTTGTTTTGCCAAGGGGCGAGGAGGTGGGGCGATGATATACATACTTAGTATAGTAGGCATATGAATAGGACGGACGGGGTCTCTTTGACGCGTTTTGCTGGCGTCACGGGCGACTTTCTCGCTCTTTCGCTGTCGCATTAGACGACCTGAGAATTAGAGAACCAACACAGAGAACCCTTGCTGCAAAATGAAAACGAAATGTGGCAAAAACAAAGCCAAAGAAATGTTCCCGGCGGTGGGCTCTTCTTGTCGCAACTGCTTAAATTCAATTTATTGCTCACTTTTTGTTCAATTGCCGAGCCCAGCGGACATTGGAGGAGTGTCTTTAGATCACGTTCAGTGTATATTCCGTCCGAGACTTCGTTTAAAGCGTTCCGCGTCCGTCGATCGCCAGGCAGTTAAGTCCGCGGCCTCGCGGCATTCCGGTTGCAGTTCCCGGTTTCGTGTCGGGTCGAGTGTTTCGTGTTGAGGTACCCATAGGTCCTTTCCACTCCTGAATACCTAGCAAGGTCCTGCCTCAAAAATTGTAGATACTCGATAGTACCAGAACCTCATCAACTTTGACTGATAATAACATAACAAATCAAAGATTAGGCATTGACGAACGTATACAGGCCATTTATCCGTCATAATTAGGTTTGTTAGTATATGCAGCCTTCTTTTTTTTAAAGTGTCAGTCCTTATTTTTAAATTGGTTCAAAAGTATGGACTGTGTGGTACAAGCTTCATCCTATGACTAGTATGTTTTTAAATTGTATATGTTCCTTAATTAGATGGTCAATAATTATAGTGTTTTTAGCCAATATGTATAGTTTTTCAGTATCGCTATAACTTATGATATAACTGGTCTGAAGGTCTTACAGCGGGCAACCGAAGAACAACTTAAGCTTTTCTTGTTAGCTATTCGTATTGTGATTCACCTTAGCAGTTAGACCAATCTGAAAAGGGCGCATAATTAAATTTAACCAGCCCATAGGAACGTGCACGTCAATAAAAATAACACCCTAACCATTCTGGGCCTACCTTAATATTTCGTTGGCTTTCTGAGTTTATGTTTGCTTAATGAACCATTTCAATCAGCACCCCTACCTTTGTCTTTACTAGTAAACAAACCTTGAAACCTGAGTAGCTCTTACTAAAATAAAAAACGCATTCGGAAATATCCTTGTATCCACAGGTAGAAAGCAATTCTCTACAACGGCTACAGCGGTGCAACGCATTCTGAAACTGTTGATGCAACGGCAGCAGAAACTGCTGCGGAAATTATTCCAATTGACTGCATTGGCAAAACGTTAAGCATACGCAGTGGTGTGCGGTAAAAAAGCAAGCGTTTAAATTGCAAAGCGAGAAAGGGAACGAGTGAGTGCAAAGTGAGACATATCGAAAAACAATAATTATCGCGGGGAGTGCCATAAACCAGCTCCATCCTGGGTAATCTGTGGTTAATCGTCCGAGGTGAGCTCATCCAAAAAATACCATAAAACAAGCGGGGGCGACAAGTAAAAGCCTAAATATAGTTATTAAATAAGCATTAACAGTGGAGTGTGTTAAGAGCACTTAGAGAAATAATCAAGTATTTATCAAGTGAAGTCGTATACTTTATGCCTTTAAATATATAATCTTATAAAAATAAATGTTGTAAAAATATAGAGTAACAATAGGCAAACAATAATGAAATATAATTAATTTGGAATACAAAATAATACTTTTTTTATGACATTGTCTACTGTTTTTACCAGTCCACAAGAGTGTGAGATTTGGGGATGCAGAGTGACCTTCGATAGCTTTCAAAGTTTTCCGCTTTCGTGCCTGTCTGTTATTTGTGTCAGCAAAGCGAAACCGAAATGAATGGCCCAAGTGACAGGTTGAATCGATTAAAAACACAAGAGCTCAACCCTTACCATAGATTCCCGTCATAGGTTCTTTCTTTCTTTATAACATTTAAAGAAACCCCTGCCAAATGTCAAGTTCAAGTTCGCCCAGCTCGCCAATCTGAAATCTACATATGTTATTTATCTGAAAGTTTTGCGATGGGGAAGTGCCAATAAATTTGTGTCTGGCAGCGTGCAGAAATCAAAGCGATGCTGACAGCGGGACAGTCAAAACTCGTCGCTGCAATTATCTTAATTATCTGCCAAAGATGGGGGAATATGGCGAGGAAGTTCTGCGACTGGGAATGCAAATTGCGAATTGCAATATGACAACCGAATTCAGCCGGATCGAGGCGGACGCGGAACGTTTTGTTTGTTGTGGCCAGGCCGAGAAGTTAAATATAGCACTGCCCTATTGATTTGGCCCACTGCCCGAAAGATGGGTAATAGGTATTTCGGGACAAAGCGGAAAGGGGTTTTTCCCATGATTTATGAATGACAGCTAACAAGGCGCGCTTTCTGGCGGATCGATAAACGTCTTTTCGAGACGAACCTCTCCCAGGTTTTTTCCCCTTATCCCCAAGGACATTAAGGGGGAATTGTCAAGTCACTTAAATCGATTAGCGACGCTATTAAATCAAATTACCTGGAAGGGTTCGGGATGTTGCTCTGCACTGAGAGAAATCTCTTTAGACGGCGTATAACTATATACCGCCAATGGGGTAAAGGCTTTCAAAATCTTGTCCCAATGAGTACTAATTTACTATAATAAATAAATAAATTTTAGGTTAATAGTTTTCATAAAAACGTGTCTGCTTTTATAGAGAAATCCTGTCCAGAAAATGAATGATAACTGACTATTAAATATTTGATGATATGATATGATAGTTATACTTGATATACTTGAAATTATTTTTCTGCGTGGCTGCTAATCAATTTTTGCGTGTCCGCCGAGCGGAATTTTCCGCTTTATGATAATTATGGAGCGTCAATCAGCTTTTCGACGGTGCGTGATGTCTGCAGCGCGTCTCCATTTCAATTTCAATTTTCATTTCGTTTTCATTTCCCTGCCGGCATTTGCCATAAATGTGCCGCGAGAAAAAGAGAGAGAGGTTTCATATTTATGGCACAGGATACTCGACTCCCGCGAGGCTTTCAAATAAAAAGCTGACCGAGCGAGAGAGTGGCACATTCGCAGGAGCAAGCTTGAACTGAACGGTTGGCATTCGAAGGAGCTGAAAGTCCAGGAGCAGGAAAAAAGAGAAACAGACACGGCTGAAAATAGTGAAAACGAAAGCGGAAGAAGGCGACTTAAAGCCACGGCCAAGGAACTTTAAAAAGGACCCATCGAATTCAAGACATCTCTTCTTTCCCGGATATCTGGATTCCAACCGGAGCAGGGCCTGACACAGTTTCCCCTTGCCCCAACTGCAATCGACTCCTGACCCGGACTCTGAAAAATCGATTATCTCTGTGTGTGTGCACAACAACCCGCGAGTGCAGTTCAGCGCCTTAAAGAGAGCCACCCACTCGCGAAGGTCAGTAGCGCCCGGCCAGCCCCATTTGATTGCCATTCCGGTTCGGAAAGTACCCAAAAACCACTACAACGGAGCCGCTAACCCGCAACCGCCGCTGCCGCAGAGAAGGAACGACGGTTCGAGGCGGAACGCAAACGCCGCCGAACAAAAGGAAGACAACGCCGCACCGGTAGAATGGCCTACCTAATCAACATTCTTAAGTTCAATGTAAAGTACTTAAAAAATCAATAACTAGACACCGACCGACCGACCATCCATTGCAAAAGGAGCATCCGCATCCGAGTGAAATAGTGACGAAAAACCACGGGAACCCCAAACGTTGCTAGCTCTCTCTCTTTCTCTCGTTCGCCCCGTCTCGCTTGCTCCTCTCTTGGTATTTTTTTTGTCGCCCCCGCTTCGCTGCGCCTCGTTCTGCGCCGTCCGGACACTACGACATTTGGACAATGGAAATGGAAAAGTCTGGGAAATTTTCAGATTACCTCTTCGCCAAAATGGGTCCCCCCACCGCCACCGAGCTGCCCCCGAAGACCACGGAGCGCAGCGACGCCCCCGTCGAACTGACTGGTTATCGCAGGTGGCTAAGTGATAACCTCATGCTGCTGGTCACTCTCTCCGGAGTCCTACTCGGGGTGATACTGGGTGAGTTACATGACCAACGAAACTTGGGGTGCTCTACAGCACTTCAGGTGTAAAAGTGTAAGAGTAGTTTTCAAGGCCAAGACTTCGAGGGAAAATATAACATTAAAATTTTATCGACTCGAGTAATTTATAACATTTACTGTATTTTCGCAGGACTCTCGTTGCGGCCGCTTAATTTACACGGGGATTCTATCATGCTGATCTCGTATCCTGGCGAACTGTTTATGCGTGTGCTCAAGCTGATGATCTTGCCGCTGGTTATATCCAGTCTGATTGCCGGATCGGCCAGTCTTAATGCCAAGATGAATGGCAAGATAGCACTGCGCACGCTGGTTTACTTTGCCAGCACTTCGTTCTTCAACGCCGCTTTGGGCATCGCTCTCGTACTCCTCATCCATCCCGGAAATCCGGATCTGCACAATGCGGATGATCGATCGACGGATAGGCGGGCGGTGAACCTACTGGATAGTCTTTTGGATTTGGGCAGGTGAGTTGCGCATACATTTGTACACAAGAAAACATTGCAAGTTTAATTTACATGTTATAAGCTATCTTAAATAGCATTAATTGTGAAATAGTTATAAATAGTTGATTTAAATATAATTTAAAAACCGATTGTATGGCCTAAAACGTAGACATACTATCTTCCTATGTGGCGCCCTCTACATGTGAATACTAAACAGCAACTAGTGTCTCCAGCCGGCAAGCAGTTCAGTAAAGCAGTTGAAATAAGATTAAAAAAGCTTAATGTTATATGAAACTTGTTTCTCCATTTAACGGAGCCTAGAAAAAATTCAAATTTAAATGAGAATTATAAAATAATGCATTTGGCAACTTAAAAAGGCATCTGGATTTAACTGACCAAGTTACCAAAGCGTATTTTTAAATTTTGTTTAACCATTACATATATTTACTATGTATATTATATGGAAACATGAAATATACATTAATCCTGTAACTTATTTCTTAACCTCCAGAAACGTATTCCCGGACAACCTGTTCCAGGCGTCCATTCAGCAGGCGCACACCGTCTATCTGCCCAAGCCGAGCATCCTGCACGCCTTCAACGAGACGATGAACGACACCCTGCTCTCCGGCGCGGACGCCCAACGGCTTTCGGAGGATCTTACGGAGGAGGTGGTGCTGGTGAGGGACGTGCAGTACCGCAGCGGGACCAACACCTTGGGCATCGTATTCTTCTGCCTGGTATTTGGCACTTTTCTGGGCACCATCGGCCAGAAGGGTCAGGTTGTGGTCGACTTCTTCGCCGCCATTTTCGAGGTGATCATGAAGATGGTGACCTGCGTGATGTGGCTAACCCCGGTGGGCATTAGTTCTGTGATCGCTGGAAAGATACTCAGCGTGGGCGATTTGGGCCTGGTGATGTCGCAACTCATGTGGTTTATTCTCACGGTGGCCATCGGCGTGTTTATCTACCAGTTCATCGTGATGCAGGCCATTTATTTCGTCGTCGTGCGCCGCAATCCGTTTAAGTTCTACGCCGGACTCATCCAGGCCATGCTCACCGCCTTCGCCACGGCCTCAACGTGAGTTCTGTGTCCATTTGGACCGAATGAGTCCTTAAGTGTAGAATCTGTTGAAGGCTTTTGGCCAAGAAAAAGTGCACAGAGCTTAAGTCAAGTGCATTTTTCTAATGAAACTAATTTCAGCTTGAACGACACTTGAAATACTTATTGTCAATAAGTTTTTTGTCAGAACAGCAACTCAAAATTAGTCTTGTGAAGTTTCCGAAAAAGAAATTGGGTAATCACAAAGAAAATACAAATCTATAAATATAAACAATGGTACCGATTCCAAATTTCCACGTCTTTTAAAAATTACTTGAATAATTTAAATCTTAAATTAGAGTAATTATATACTGTACTAAAATCGAAAAGCTTCCAGGATTTTTCCATTTTCTTGTAAAATATTTGTAATGTCAAGACTTTGTTTCTGTTTGAAAGACTTATCCTAGCAAATCTAAATTCGTTAAATAATTTTTGTAACTAGGAACTGAGGTTCAAATTCGGTAGGAGTGCGTTAAATGTGTATTTTTTCTTTCTTCCGGTATTTGCCACGACCTGATGTTGTATCGAACTACCCACTAATTCACACTCCCAAAAAAAAAAAATAACACCACCACACACCTCAACAAAACTGCGACTGCCACGCCCCTTAGCGCCGCCGCCCTGCCCATAACATTCCGGTGCATGAACGAGAAACTGCGTGTGGATCCGCGGATAACGCGATTCGTCCTGCCCATCGGATGCAACATCAACATGGACGGAACGGCCCTCTACATCGCGGTGGCCTCGATCTTCATTGCCCAGATGAGCGGTATGGTTCTGGGATTCGGGGAACTGCTGACGGTGCTCCTGACCTCCACGGCTGCCTCGATGAGCTCGGCCAGTGTTCCGAGTGCTGCTCTGGTACTCCTTCTCGTGGTGCTCACCGCCATTGATGCTCCTGTTCAGGATGTCACGCTCCTCTTCGCCGTGGATTGGTTTGTGTGAGTATGGATCTGATTTGGAACATCTTTCTGGGGGCAATCATAATTTATACAATATTTGGGATTTCCAGGGACCGGATTCGCACCACGAATAATATGCTGGGCGACTGTTACACCGCTGCCGTCGTCGAGGAACTGTCGCGCAAGGAGTTGATGGCTTTGGACGCAGCTTCCGTGAATTATCAGGTATAGTGTACATTTTGATGATCAAGTATTAATGGTAATCTGATTATTTCTCCTTCTAGGACATGCCCGCTAGCACCCCCAATGGACATGGCCATGGGCACCTCGAGGGGGGACTTCTCGAGGGGCAGACAGAGCTGGAGACGAGCGGCAAGTGCGTGATGACGATGACGATGACAGACTCGGTGGTGGTGGACATGAGTGCGGTAATGAACAACGTGAACCTGCAGCAGGAGCACTGCAACCGCAGGGTCTAGAAGATTTTAGTTCGTCAGCATTTGCTCAATAGTCCCAGAACCAAAACCACCATCAGCAAAACAATAACACCTATGATATTCACCACCAATAGAACACAGTGTTCCCCCAAAAACGTTTTTGATATAGGATCTTTAAGAAACAACCGATTGGATATGTATGGAGGCACTGTCTGACGAACCCACCCGTATTGAATTTACTCCTCTTTTGGACCAGTGTCGATAGCAATTAATTAGCCTGAACACTTAAAGGACTTCGCATACGTATATATCGAATATTCACCTAGTAGAGACCGCATAAGGATATTATATGCCACATATAAGCACACACATTTTACCTAAAACCCCAACCCCAACCCCAAAAACACGAAGAGACGCTAAGCGAGGGATTCTTGTGATCTGTCCTGGGAACTATGTGCATAATCTATGGGTATTATTTTGTAAGCTCGATTGTGATGGGGTCACACTAATTTATTTTACAATGTTGCTTATTTATACGTTATATATGTGTTGTTTGGAAGAATTTCGAAAGGTCAATGTATCAAGGGATAGACGGATAAACGCAGAAAAGCAGGTTGTAGAAGAAGTTTGCTATGTTTAGTTCTAGATTTAGTTGGTCTGTTAAATTTCTGCAACTCACATTTGGTTACACGCCTCTGATTAACCATGAACGACTACTCGTTAAATACTACCAATTATCAATTACCCATTACCAATTACCGATACCAAATATCACACATGCATTCGTAGACTGATAGCAGACTTAGTAGCGATAACAAATATGTATCTGCATATATGCAATACTTACTAACCAATATCCGACATTCGATTTGTACGCAAACGCATACGCTGAATACAATAAAATTTATTATACCACCTATTTAAAGATATTAGTGGGAATATTAACGTAATGTCACAACCGAGTTTATTTTAAATGTGTCTTCAGGGTCGTTGTTTTTCAGATAACCATTTCTTAACACCTAATACAACGATCTAACAACAATGAAATTATAACTCTTGGGCTTATGTTAATTTGCACAATGTGCATTGTCAAGCGAAGTTTACATTTCAGCATCACGTCATAATTTAATATTAAATTTGGTTTCCTAGGCATGCATCTTTGGCTGCTGCTATCGTGACATATCTTCTTAGGGTTTATCTCTTAGTAAATTATGTTTTTACAATATCAATTTTTTAAAGGACACCAGTGCATTCTTTAAAATCGATTTTTACTCAAGTTAATGACTCCGTATTAATAATAAATGGCTTGTCTGTTTATTCCCCTACTAATTATGTGTCACTAGATTAAGTATCTTCGTATTCACACACTATATCTTCATCTGTATCGCGTTTTACTGCGACTTTATTTCTGTGTTTCGAGCGCAAACGGAAATTTGCCTATCAACATGGCCATAAATCTCCCGATAGATGGGTGAGTAGCAGCGATCGGGCGAATAGACAGAATGAATCATCACTGGGCCCAATAACTCAACGCCTGCACTACTTGGCCAGTGGTCTTGCACAAGCGAGCCAAATCGGGCTTATATAATTATATAGATACGGTCATAGGTGCATGTGCATATGAATGAGTGAATAAATTACTACGTAGTGAGCCCCTCAAGATACGGTTAAGGTACTAAGATCTGCAGAGAAACACTATATATAATTGATTCATATATTTTTCACTTTTTGGAAACTGACCATTATCAACTAGATTTCAATATATATAATTCTATACCATATACAATTATGATTGTGAACAATTGTTGAGATATTAACCTTCTCGAACCAATTTTAGTCGATATCAATTTAAAGATATCTTTACCCGGAGCTAGAACCCCTAAAAAGTTAATTTGAATACGTTTTTAATATAAAATTATGAACTATTTGCTAGTCTATTGTCTACCCTTTCTTACAGTGAAGTTGGTGCTATCTCGGATGTAAAATCTGCAACCTTTAGATCCGCTTTGCTTTTCGATTCCGCCGCCATGTCAGGTGTCAATCCGCAGCGCAGACTTCTCACAGACTCGAGAGCCCAACTGCACAGGTGAATGAAATCGGCGGATAGTAAACAATAAGCAAATGAGCTGCGAGCTGTGGGCAAAGGTGGCAGTATTCATATTTATGGAGATGCAAGATGCAAGTTGTGAGACGCGAATAATCGACCTCCGTGTGTGGTGCAGAGTGCATGCACAGAAAGGAAAATGAATCGACATAATTACTGATTTAAAAAGCAAAATCTGTGTTTAAGGGATTCGCCGAGAGGTAGAAGAGCGAATCATTTTGATTTTCTTCACACATGTAAATGATATGAACAATGTGTTATATCTTTACGACCTGTTAATATACAATATACCGTACTAAGCGTTTTCTTTTTTCTGTGTGTGCCATGCAAAACGGATCAAAATTTGCGCTTTGGCCGCTTTCAGAAGTGCGCAATTGCAAACTCGAGCTGTCGAGCGTCGAGCTCTCTTGCCAGTCCAACTGTCTGCGCCCCTGGCCCCTTGGCCCCCCCTCCTGGGGCTCTTGGGCCCCTTCAACCCCCCCTGCCACCTGTCCAACTGTCCCACTGACTGGCTGAATAATGCTGAATGCCGAATGAATGCTCTTGTGGCTGCGTTGGCTGCGACGTTGCTCCGACTTTTGCGACTGAAGCTGGCGTTGGAGTGTTTGGCGTCTGAAGGTCTACTTGGCAGCGGCTTTGGAGTGTGTTGGCGTTACGTTGGCCCCTCGCACCTTGCACCTACCCCTCCCTTTTCCATTTCCCCTTCGTCACTGCCCGATAAAATGAAATACGAGTGCAAACAAACAGCACAGCAGCAACAACATTCGGGTAAAGCTAAGCAGGTAGATCGGATATGGAATACTCTGAAAAATGCATTCCTCACAATACAATGGCCAAGTGCGTAAAATATTTTATAAAGCTTTTTGAAAGTATTTTAATCGAAGAAGATTATTTGTCTATAAGTTGAACTAGTTTTTATTGCAAAACTGTTCTCACAACAACTATAACTCCATTTTTCATTTCTTATTATGATAAATATAAATTCGAACACCTTATTAATTTGTTTAGTTCGAAGAATTCATATTGTCTTTATATATATATTATTTTTTATATTTTGAACACCTAACTTAATCTTTGTTTAGGATACAAAGCCTTCAGAACTCTAGTCAAGATTATAAAACTTTAATATTTCTTCTTGTTATAAATACAAAATTCTATATAAATAGGATCTTATGATAATCATTCGTTTGAAAGACTGCTCATGTATTTGCTTATCATACAGTTGAGAAATAGATCAGTCCTAAAATATATCTCCTTAAAAGGGAAGATGACCTTGATTCATACATGATCACTGGCACCTCGTTGATTTCAACAGCAAAGAAAAGGAAACAATGTTCATAGCTCGACCATTGGCATTAACCATAAAAGGGGGTTTCCCTTTTCCCGATTCCCTCGTTCTCGTGACTTCTCTGGCAATTGAAAACCCAGCTTGCGTGTGACAAAGTTCGTGATTGACCCATTGGACCCGATATAGGGCATGGGTATTTCGTAGGGGGTATCTCATTGTGGAATTGTGTGAGGAAACAAACAGCGGCTGCTTGACTAAGCTCGCGGCGCATTTTGAAGAATAATGGCTGGGCACATGTGTGCCAGAACACGGCGAATACAACTTGGCGCACGATATATTGACACTTGGCACATATGGCTTTCAGAATTTATCTATGCAGAATGCATTATGGTGCTGTAGTTGGGGTTTTAGCCAAGGCATTTGCATAAGCGCAAGCTAATTAATTCAATTAAGAAGCGAGTCAAAGCAAATCTCCGCCGGGGCGGTTTCACTTTCTTGCCTGGCGATTCGCGGTTCTCGATTCCATTGCTCGATTCTCGATTTTATGGGTCCCAGCTATGATTGAGCACTGGCGGAAGTTGTTCTCGTGTTGACAACGACAGCGCGCTTATCGCCATGACGATTGACTTGGATTGAGATTGACTCTGATCGATTCGATCGGCAGGTACAGCTGCAGCCCAAGTTCAGATGCAGATATTCAGATTCTGGCGGAGATGCAAGGCACTGGCACGACTCACTGCCGCTGCTCGGACATGAGTTTATGGCCAATCTGCTCGTCTATAAATTTGCAATCAACTTTTATCAGCCAGCGTCCAGAACGTGCCTCCGCTAACGTTTCTATTCACACGCTGCCGTTCCGCGCGAAACGGGATTGTGCCAGTCCCAGTGCCAGTGCCACTCTATCTCAAGTTATGCACTGAGAAAAAATACTAGAAATGCTAAGCAATAGTTTCTTAAAGCTTGAGAAAACTGAATAACCCGAAAATAACATTTCTTATACCCTTAGTTTGCAACGCAATGAAGGGCTACCCTATAGAGTATATATATTTCTGATCTGCATCACCAGACAAGTCGATCAAGTCCGTTTCTAAGCAAACTATAGATAATAGTCAACTTCTTTGCTGCCAGTGTGCTTTCAACTCAACTGCAGTCAATATTTTGTTGGTGTGACTTTGAGCGGTGATAGATTGGCCCACATTCGTCGCGATGCAGTTGATGCTGCAGCAGATCATGATGTTGGTTTCCCTTGGCCAGTGGAAAATGCTGTTTCTCTGATGCTGTTGCAGTTGCATCATCCACATCATCCGTATCATCATCATCATCATCATCGTCGTCGTCGCCAGCCTGGTAATCTAACCAAATTACCGTGCTGTTCACAAACACGTTCTCTAAACGGTTTCATAATAACAACGCGCTCCTCAAAAGAATTTTCAAAGCGGGCTGCTTTCTTGGCTTTCTTTTGAGCTTCCTCCTCTCATGGATTACATATCTCGGCGTATATCTATATACCCTCGTGTTTCGGTGTGTTGGTCTAATGCAAATTGCAGTAATAATTGGCCTATTATGCCACAGAACACAGCAGAATGAGATAGCAAGAGAACAGGACCAGGAATCTGCAGTAGGTCGCCTTTTCAGCTGCCACGCCCACCACCCCACGCCCCCTTTCACACGACAGAAGGAAGCGGCGAAAGCCATTTAATACTGTGCTTTCATACTTAAAAGTTGGCATTAGACGCGCTTACACCAAACCAAATATGGTTATGATATGACCGAGGAAACGAGGGGGGGTTAATATGCCTTAGCCAACGGAGGCGGAAGAAGAAGCAGGAGCAGGTAGAGTAGATTGCATTGAATATTGCGCTCATTAATTAGCCGACATTGCAAATTAATGCCTAATCAAATTTTATTGAATTATAAACCAGTCGGCAGTTGAAATGCCAAAAAGCCGAGCCAATGGAATGATGGGCCCTCGGGAGGGGGATAAGTAAGCTCCTCTCTCGTTGCTGGTAAATAATGTGCAGCAAAGCGGCCAACAGGCATTAAAATTAATTTGATTTTGTCAAAGGCAACAACATGGGAAGCGCAGCTCTCGAGGTCTCAGTCGCAGTCCCAGAGTCTCTGGCCCAATCCCTCGAACAACCTGACAAGTGTTCGCCGTCTGAACAGCTACACAGCAAGAAATTTCAGATACAGCATAAATATCTTAAATTATGCTTTCAGATGTTCTTGAATGTTTAATCTTTTGAGACGAAATAATGGCTGTGTTATTTCCTGTACGATGTAACACTTTTTGTGGTGGCAAACTTAAATTAACAATGCGAATGTATTATGTATGATATAAGGAAAATAGTTTTTCAGTACAGTTTTCAATTTTTCAGAACTAGCAATATTTGAAATCATTGAAAATGGAGCAATATGGTTTTGCTTCTTAAAAATATATTTTTTATTTGTAACTTTATTTATAAGTTAGATAGGTTTTCTTTGTGTATACCCAAATCCTTGGCCGCAGCCATAAATGACTTTGCCTATGCCCTACCAGTAAAACTCCCTTAGATAGATATCACATCGTTCGAAGCCATCAACTAATGATCGCAAATAAAAACCTTGAGTCTGCAGGGAACTAGTAGGGGGAGTCACCCTGCCCAGCCACTCCACTTTAGTGCAGACCGCAATAGCCTGGGCACCCTGCAGGGTATCAGAGTGAGGCCCATGGCCAACTCTACAAGCTGGCCAACAGATCGTTGCTATTTTAATTAACTGCCCCGTCTGTGCATTAAAATTGTTTTGACTTTGTTAAATGCTTGCAAATCGCAAAGCGACATGAAAATTTACGCGCCAGCCGAAGAAGATGAAGATGGAGATGCAGTCGCCTAAGAGGAATCGGGATTCAGAGGAACTGGGAGCGGTAGCCTGAAATCGATACTGCGAACATATACTAGTCTTAGTCGCGGCATTCGATGCGGACATTTCCCATTTACCATATGCTATTTGCTGCCTGCTATTTCTGGCTAGATGTTTTTCCACCCAACTGACCGAGGCAAAATACCGCAATCAGGCAAATGGCCAAGTGGATGATGCACTGCCTCATCACCAGCTAAAGTATATCCCGGTCCGTCCTCAGGCCAACCCATCCCATTTTCAACGCCATCCCCTTGACATCCGGACACAGAGAAAAATACGATAATTTTATATTTAGGACTCTAATATAATGCCTTTTTATTGAATAAAAGTTCCCATTAGGGAGACCTCACCTTCAACAATTTATATATTGATTTTTTCAGCTAAAAACAAAAATAACTATATGCTTCAAATATATTCTCCCAGTGCAACCCCCATTGTTCTTCACCACCCAGAGTACGCGCAAATGTTTGCCAATGTAATTAAAAATGCATTTGCAGTAAAGAGCAGTGAGAAGCGAGCGTAGGCCGATCAGCCAGAAGGAAATGGATGCTGGGGTACTGAAGCTGGATGTTGGATTCTGGGGTACTGAATGCCCCATCTGTAATCGACGATCGGTGCAAATTGTCGGGAATTAGTCGGCTACTCAAATCTATGGCATTAGCCTCCAGTCGGATCTCGAGTCACATTAAAGTGCCGCCGCCCGTTTTTGGGGTCGCGATCGGGAAAGACCAAAACGGGAGAGAGCGAAAAGTCGTATCACATCACACATACGCCGTGTATGACGCTAAGACTGAGGAGTTGCACGCGTGAAATGTCAAAAGCTAAAAATGCCATTTACTGTGCTCCAATCACTCGTTGGCCTTTCGGCTGTTTACACTGTCAGGAAAAACGACAAATGCATTGCAAACAGAATTACACCATAAATTAAGATATTTTATCATTTTCTTATTAAATAATGTATTTTTAAATACCTCGTATTTATTTTATTGCAAATAGCACAAATCTAAAGAAAGTTTATGAACCTCTTGAAGAATTACACTCACAAACACTCTTAGACCATAAATAAGAACTAAAATACATCGAATAAAATGAGAATCTTTCAATTATATGAATTGAGTTTTTAATGGGAAATTACACACTATGAAAGTAATAAACAAATAACGGATCCAATAGCCATTAGAATATTTTTTATCGATTTCTCTTAACGAGGCAATACATGATTATTAAGATAATTTCAAAAACAAGTTTGATTACTTGTCAGCTTTAAACTTTGCAAGTGTAAACTAGATTGAATTCTTGATAATCAATTTTTTGCTAGCCCCATAAGATATATTTTTTATTTTGTCGACGTGTAGAAAAAGCTAACGACAGAAGAGGGGGACCTTACGATGTGCCCATGATTTTACTCATTGTTGTCATTGTCCGCAGCCTCACACGCAAAAAATAGAAAAAACGAAACAAAAAGCTGAGTTTACTGAATGCTTTGTGGGCCTGCACATGCAGATTGGCCAAGAGCGATAGCGATAGCCTTTTTATTTGCCTTTCGTCTGTTTTCGGTTTTTGGAGCTCAGTTTTCCGACTTGCGAATGGAGTTGTTGCTGCGCCTCCGCGATGGTGCCCAATGTGTTGGCCAGATGAACAATTTCCTTTTCGACGCGAAACCACCTGACTAGGATCGAGGGGTTCAGTCCAAGAGGCTGTGGCTTTTCCCGTGGCCCACGCTCGGTGGGTCCACCATTTTCGGTTCGTTTGCGGGGCCTCGATGAAAAATTTGCAAATTGGAATTATTTATTTATTGATGCATGTTTGATGTGACGCTTTTGCAGAGGCCCCAGCTCCAGGCCCCCTTTTTGCACATTTACTCTCATGTAACGAATCGCTTTTTTAGCTGCGGGCCACAAATGCAATCCGCAAACACAGAAAGCACGGGGGAGAAGGCCGAGGGGCAGCCGCACATGTGTGAGAAATTGCTGTTTGTTTTATGCAAATGATCATCGCATTGCAGCTGGATTCGCTCTGCCAGTCGCCGTTCCAAATTTTTGGATAGTGCAATTAAAAACCGAAAGTGTGAAGGAAGCAAGGCTTTTTGTAGACCAGCATAATGAACCGATTAGACGCGTCTACAGAAAGAAAAGTGCGGGTGAAAGAAATGGTGAAGGGAAAAGCCTGAAATCGGCCTCACTTTTTTTAGGGAACCGCTTTTCATTTTAAATTTTCAAGCCAATTGGTAAACACCGATTCCCCAATTGTTAAAATACTCGCATTCTAGCTCAGTTTTTATCTTCGAACACAGAACTGACAATTTATATTTGAGAAGGAAATTAATTTTGTCCAGAACACATAAAATTTAAATCTCACCAAACACAGTTTTGAGAGATGATTGGAAAGTAAATGGATGCAAATATTAGGGGATGTGAACTACATCATTCCACTATCAATGTCCCGCACCTCCACCTTCTCCATGCCGGGAATAGACTTGACCATCTCGTTCATCTCCTCGGCAGTGGGTCCATCGCTGGGGGACGCGCTCATGCCACCACCACCCATTCCTCCCATGCCACCGAATCCACCACCCATTCCTCCCATGCCCCCGAAACCACCCATACCCCCCATTCCTCCCATGCCACCCATTTCCGCCAATCCACTTAGGGCTGCCAGTTCATCCAATCCACCCATATTCATGTCCAGCCCGTCATCCATTCCTCCGCCGGCTCCGGCCAGCTTGGCCAGAAGATCATCATTCCTAGAGTCCGTAATCACCACCTCCGTGGTGCTCAAAAGCGAGGCCACTCCAGCTGCGTCCGTGATGGCAGTCCGCACCACCTTGGTGGGATCGATGATGCCCTTCTCCACCAGCCGACAGTACTCATCGCCCATGGCGTCGTAACCGAAATCTCCTGAGCCATCCAGAACCTTGGCCACCACCATAGCGCCGTCCACTCCTGCGTTCTGTGCAATCGTGTGGCAGGGCATTCTCAAGGCATTGCAGATGATGTCGACGCCCTTCTGGAGATCCGGACTATCCATCTTTAGTTTCTGGAGATGGGGAATGCAGCGCAGGAAGGCGGTACCGCCACCCGGCACAATTCCCTCCTCGATGGCAGCCCGTGTGGCATTCAAAGCGTCCACCACGCGATCCTTTTTCTCACCCACTTCGACTTCACTGCCTCCGCCAATGTGGAGTACAGCCACGCCCTTCGTTAGGGCGGAAAGGCGTTGTCGCAGACGATCCCGCTGCTCCGGCTTGGTTTGCTTATCTGCCAGTTCGTCCTTGATCTGTTCGATGCGCATTTCCAGAAGTCCTGGCTTGGGTTTGCCCTGCAGCAACATTGTGCTATCTTTACTAATCACAGCCTCGCCCACCTGACCCAGATCCCCCGGCTTAGCGTCCTCCAACTTGGAGTAGTTGATGTCATCTCCGAAAATAGTAGCTCCCGTGGCGGCGGATATATCGCCAATGAGCTCCTTGCGATGGTGTCCATAGCTGGGCGACTTGACTGCACAAACCTGTAGACCCAGTCGTAGCTTGTTCAGAACCAAAGCATTCAAGGCCTCGCCACTAATGTCCTCTGCTATGATGATCAAAGGACGTCGCTGCCGCAGCGATTGCTCTAGACCTTTCACAATCTCCGAGAGTCCGGTGATCTTCTTCAGTGAGATCATCACAAAGGCGTTGGCAAACTCCACTTTGGAACCTTTAGAGCTATTCACGAAGAAGGGCGAGACATAGCCATTGTCGAAGCGCAAACCCTGGATAATATTTAGCTCGTCCTTGAGACGTTTTCCCTCCTTTACAGTAATAGTTCCCTTGGGACCCACTTTGTCGGTGGCCTCGCCAATGAGGCGACCTATTTCGGTATCACCATTAGCCGATATGGTGGCCACTTGCTGAATCTCCTCGCGGGTCTCCACCGCCCTGGACATCTCTTTCAGTTTCTCCTTTACAACATCCACGGCCATCATAACTCCGCGACGAATCTCCACGGGATTGGCACCCATGGTGATCTGATTAAAGCCCTCTTTGGCAATTGCTCGAGCCAAAACAGTGGCTGTGGTAGTGCCATCTCCAGCAGACTCATTTGTATTGTCGGCTACATCCTGAACCAACTTAGCGCCCAGGTTCATATGCTGGTCCTTCAAGGCAATAGACCGAGCCACCGTAAAGCCATCCTTGGTAATCTTCGGTGAGGTCCAGGGACGCTCCACGATCACACTGCGTCCCTTGGGACCCATTGTCACGGCCACCGCATCTGCAAGGACATCCACTCCCCGGATCATCAGTGCACGGACTCCGGGTCCAAAGCGCACATCCTTTGAATACATTCGCGTAAAACAGCGACTCGATATGATCGCCTCGGATACACAAGACCGAAACATTGTTGCAACTAATATCAAAATTTCCGAAGTTAATGGTTTAAATATTTTAAGGTTCGATTCCAGTAAGGATGTGAGTACAAATGATAATACTGGCGACTGTTTGGGCAGCTGTGACAGAGTTACAGCGAGTTATTGATCAAAGCCTACTGTCAGCTTCACAGCAGCTTGATAAGATTATTTGTCTAAATTTTCTTTCCACTGAACTTCTTAACTTCGCATTAAAGTTAACTTCCGTTTTCGTTATAATATTAAACCTTTTTGTATCCAAGTAAATAGGAACCATTCCCTTTCACATTACTTATATTGATTTTCCTCGAGCACTTATTACGCTGTTCATTTTCTAGATGTGGTCAGAAACTTTCAGGTAATCGCCAGATTTCACAACTTGCATTTGTCTGGCGCCTGACCGTCTGCGATCGAGGATCTGGATTCTTAGACAACAGAAGCCGGGCCTTCTGTTTGCCGGAATAAATTAGCGTGCAGCTAATAAGCCCCGACGTTCTGGGTGGAGTTTGCCCATTTGCAGTTCTATTCGGTTGCAGGGGCTGACCCACAAATAAGAACAGCGTCTGCCGATTTCCTAGAACTGCTGTGGACTCTAAACAGAGGATGGATGCATTTTCCTTGGCTGGCCGTTCCCACTTCGAAGGCAGCTGTCAAAAATGGTTTGCTGCCTACTGCAACCAGAGAAATTCACACATTTTGCTGCAAGCCAAATAGCAAATGGAAATGGGGATTTTGAGACGGAGATGGAAATGGAGATGGGATGGAGATGCTGGGTGCACAGTGCACAGTACACAAACATCCAATATTTTCTCATAAAGCCGTTTAACAAATAAAGAATATTTTTCTCCTGACGTATTTGTATTGTAGTTATTCACAGTTTATTGATTTCGATGTAAGATCGGGGACTAACAAATTACCAAACGGTTATGCCTAATAATGAATGCTTGCCCCTATAAAGATCGATAAAGATGGTAACTTTTCTCTCTGTGCTGGAGACAGGAATATCCATTGGAGCTGGAGTTGGGGTCGGAATCGGAGACCGTTTCCTGGCCGCTTGACGCGTTGATTGCCATGTGCAAGCGGTAGCACAGTAGCTGGATTTTGTGTGAAAGCCCCGTCAACGATTTCGGGGAAAGGGCGGTGGTACTGATTGATGGGGCATTTGCATGTTCGACTCTTGGGGAAGCCTCTTCGCCTGCCCTCGCAATCGCTCTCTCCATTTCTACACACTCTGCGACATGTGTAAGTGTCCATGGGGTCGAAGACCACCTGGTGGGCTTTACGATGATCCAAGCTATAACTTAGCTACAGGGTATGGGGTCTTCTGCAAATTACTTTCACTAAAGAGGGAAACTCGATCTATTATTAATTGCAAGCCATCTTCGGGGATTCTCCTATTGATTTCTGTGACTTGTTGTGGGCCGAATTTGACCCACTGACCGGTGGCCGATAATTTCCTATTTGCTTTTGCTAGACTTTTATCGGGGCTGTCATTAGACGCGGATCTCCACGGATTGAGCAGATGAAGTCGTTCGGGTAATTGTGAAGCAGACAACAAAGAAAGTTTTAATGAGGAACGAGCAGACGGTAGACTGGCGGTTCAAACTGGCCATTTGCGTAAGTGCCCGGGCAGACGAAACTCCAGGATCTGGGATCTGGGGCAGCGAAGTGCAGATTGAGATCATGGAATCGATCTATCAATGACCTGCACTTCGAAAAAAAACATTCAGAGCTCAAATCGACTTTCAAAAATATTTAATCAATTTTTTTAGAGTATGGATTTTTTAAGTAGGAAAATGTTCTGTGTTAATTATGTTATATCTTTCAAGGAAGCACAAGAACACATCTATAAAATGGTAAACTACACTATTTGTTTGTATATATTTTCTTCTGCATGGCGGCTGCAACAGCCTCGTCACAATTTAGCCTTTGCTCCCAGATTTTTTTGACTCAACTGAGGCAACTCTGCGGCTCTGAAAGGCTGCCCCTCATATTGTCACGTACCAAGCGGTGTCAAGAGTGCATGAAAGTCGTTTGCCGCATTGACTGTAATTAACTTTTTGACTTGATTTGACTGAAGCCGGGGAGCTGGAAGCCAGTCCGACCGGCCACCGTGTCGTATGAGCAACTGGCACCGTTCCCAGCCCCTCGAAAAACGCGCAGCAGGTGCTACACAAGGAAAAAAACAAGACCCATAACTATTTTCTTGAAAACCATACGCATGGGAACACTAAACAATGAATTATAGTAATATAAATGTTCTTATGTTAAGAACAATTAGCTCTATACCATTGCATGCCATTCATAACAAGTCTTAATTAAAATTTTTGTTTTTTTAAATTAGATTGAGATTTTCCCTCAGTATAAGGAGGCAGTGGCTCATGTGAGCAGCTGGATATCGGTCGCTGTGCAATTAAAATTCTTATACGGTCCGCCGATCGAATGGCCGATCGAGTGACCAGGAATGCGTGCAGCGTCCAATTCAATTTTGATTTCAATTTGTGTTTGTTTATCAGTCCGCAAACAATGCACAAACATTCGCTAGTTAACAATTAAAATTATTTAACACGCCGCCGCTTAAATGGCATCGCTCATACGCCGCGTTAGCCGCGTTGTCCCCCGCGGTTGACTTGCCAAATTGGCTGTCAGTGGGAAGGCAACAACTAAAACCACCGCACAACAACTTAAACTTAAGCAATTGCAGCAACCAAACGGCAGCCTTTGTGGCAGTGGCGGTGGCAAAATAATTTGCATAACCCGCAATCTGTGTAATCTCCCAAGTTGTGGCATAAATTAAAAGGAAAATGTCAGACTAAGCCAAGAAAAAATAATTTGTGGAAAGGGGTGGGCGGAATTTGACCCAACTCTCACGGCAAAGGTTGATCTAATTAAACATGCCATTAAACTTAAATTTCAAAATATATTTAAGCACAACAAATGATCTTCAAAGTTCTCAGAGTATGAAATAAAAATTTGTTTCATTTCACTTACCCCATTGATAGATGCAACAAAACCTAAAAAGAAAGAAAAGGTTGTTTAAATAATAATTAATTTGTAGCGCATTGTATGATTTAAGATTAATAATAAAAAATTACATCAATAGTAAAGTAATATTTTTTAAAAACAATAGATTATTTATAAAAAAAAACGTTAAGTTGTCTATGAAAACTAATAGGGTATAATGCACTACATAATCGCAAAGCTGAAATACCCTACCCGTTTTTTCAAAAAACTCTCCTGCCCACAGCAATCCAGCCACCCACTCGTCCAGCGATTTGTATTGTCACATCGGTACGAGTGTCGTACTCGTGTGGACAAAAGAGTTGACCCGGAGAGTCAGAGTCGTCGGAACGGAGACGGCACTTCACACGCCGCCGTGGCAAAGGCAACTTAATGCTTAATACTTATTGTCGCGCCTTAATCTAGATACACTCGGCACTAACAACTAACAATCCCAGCGAATCTGCAGCTCGTGCTCGTCCAGCAACCACAAAATTGAGTGGCAAAATGTTTTCACCGTGTGTGTTTTTTTGTTGTTTAGTTTTTGAACATTTTGTTGTCACGGCTGTCGCCCCTGCTCCACCACACATGCCAAGAGCCACTGGCCGAGGCTGTCAGTCTTCCTATGACTTCCACTCCCGCTTCCAAAAACCCAAAAGAAAAAATGAAAAAAATCCCAGTCCGACTGTAAATCTGCATGCGCGTCGCGGTGTCAAAACTTTTTTAAACAAAATAATTAAATGTAGAGGAGGGAAACCTCGGCAACAGTGCATAAATAGTTGCATTGCCTGAAACCCCCTCTCGAAAACCCCCTTCGATTCACCACGAAAAGCACATGCAAAGAAATCCGCTAGAAAGTCATGTTCGTGTGCTGCAACTTGGAATTGAAGCTGCAGAATCAGCCGAAAAATGTGCCTGCTCCTCATCCCAAACATTGCCCCCCTCTTCAGAGGTGAATGCGTGATCAGTCCACTCACGAGTGTAGTCTTAAACACTTACATTTTTTATGTTTTAAGTAACATTTTTAAGATTGACAATCAAAACAATACATAGTGTTCGAAAACTGAGATTTATTAACCCTTAACTAGTATTTATTATTTTATTGGCCAACTATTTGCTTTAATATATAGTTACTAATTTGCCTATCAATTTATTTCATTTTTTGGTCAACAACTACCCCAAATCAGCAGTCACGCGACCATCCCAATCGAGAGACTTCTGCTTGCTGCTTGCTGCCTGCTCCCAGCTGCATAATAATTTATGATCGCGTCCAAGATGTGGGTTAATCGTGTTTTGGGCTAGTTTCTTGCCCCAGCTTGTCTCTGCGCAGAGTCCTCATCCCCTTCAGTCGCCTCCATCTAAATGCAATCCCGAGATTGCTGCTGGTTGGCTTTCTGCGCTTTGGCATGTTCTTCACATCCAATTACTGGGTCAGGGACCTGCAAGTCCTGATCTGCGCTCGGCAATTTCCACAACAAGATACTCCCACCTAAGTTCCCCTCATTTCTATCCCACTTTTAGACCGCTGTCTGTTATGGGGCATTTAATCTCGGGGAATGCGTAACAGATTCCCAAGGCAATTAGCCATGGAAGACGCCTTACATCCATTGCCAATGAGGACCTATTCACCACCCATTATAGCATTTTATAGTGCCATTTTGGCTCTGATGAGCCGCCAAAAAGCAATAAAATATCATTTTATTAGCATGCGGACTCGGCTAAAGTGCCAAGGTGGAGGCGTTCTCTATTTCCATAGCCCTTCTTTCTGGTGAATATACCCATTATAAGCAGCAACAAATGCAAGACACGTGCACTTGCAACCAAACGAGTTAAGCTTAATTTTCAAGCCAATTTACTAGCCACTAATGCGAAGACAGAATACTCTGATTGAGGAAAATCTAGAGAGCTTGATCAGTGCACTACTTAGACTTACTTATTATCCAAGTTGATGCATGACCTTATTATTATTATTTCCCAGGGGTAAGGCATTCAAACATTTGCCCATTATTACACCATCCTGATTGACCAAGCAGAATACCCATATTGCAGGGTAGCCTGAATTCAGTATTTAGTATGCAGTTACAGATTCTGTGCTCGTTTGTG